CTAATTCCCTATTGGAAATTTGGGTAACTTCAGAAAATGGTGTGATAAGAATAGGAGGTAGGAATTGGCTAGGCACTTAGGGTAGAAAGACCCCAAAGAAAAGTAGCCAGTTTCTTGGCTAAAGTCAAAATGTCCTTGGGCCCCTTAGCAACATACTCTGTTCCAAAGGCCAAAAATGTCAAAAGTATTTTGGAGCTTGTATCTAATCCTTAAAAAATTTTAGGGACCTCTTCAGAGGGGGGATGTTAGAGTAGCCAAAAGCCACGCAAAAATAAATAAATGAAAGAAGAAAAAAAAAAGAAAAGAAAAAGAAAAAGGTGATGGGGTGATATGGGAGGTTTTGGAGGGGAGGGAGTGGGCATGGATTTGATCAAAACACCTTATATGCATGTATGAAATTCTCAATAAAGTTTTTGTAAAAGTTAAAAAAAAATGGTGCTGGAGAGATGGCTCAGTGATTAAGAGCACTGCCTGCTTTTGCAGAAGACCTGGGTTTGGTTCTCAGTACTCACTTGGCAACTCACAACTGTCTGTAACTCCAGTTCCAGCAGATCCATACCCTTTTCTGGCCTCTGTAGGTACTGCATACATGTGATACATTTATATACATGTAGGCAAAATACTCATACTCATAAATATTTATAAAAAAATGATTTTTTTTTTTGAGACAGGGTCTCACTATGTAGCCCTGGCTGACCTGGAATTCACTATGCAGACCAGTCTGGCCTCAAACTCATAGAAATCTGCCTTTTAACTCTATTGATGCTGAAAAGGTCAAACTTTTAAAAAAATATTTTACTTATTTATTTTTATTTATTATTTTCATTTTATGTGTATGTGTGTATTGCCTGCATGTAGGTAAGTGCAATTGTGTCATGCAATGCCCATGGAGGACAGAAGAGGCTGTTGAATCCCCTGGAACTGGAGTTATGGACTGTTGTTAGCTGCCATGTGGGTGCTGGGATTCGAACCTGGGTCTTCTGCGAGAACAGCCAGTGTTCTTAACTGCTGAGCCATCTCTCCAGCCCAGGTCAAACTTTTTTATCAACCTTCTGCTTTCTTTTTTTCAGCTACAGTCGGTGATGCAGCCCAGGATGACCACAAAGTCACAATTATCCTGCTACCTCGGCCTCAATGCTGGGATCACAGGCATGAGCCACCATTCCTGGCTCTCCCTGCTAAATTTTTATAGATTTATATCTATAGGTTCATACAGGAGAATATACTCAACATTAGTGATCACATCAAGACTACATTCCACAAAAAATGCTCAATTTAAAAAGAAAATAAGACCTGGAACTGGAGAGATACCTCAGTGGTTAAGAGCACTGGCTGCTCTTGCAGAGGACCCGGGTTTGGTTCCTAGCACCCAAATAGTGGCTAACAACCATATGTAACTCCAGTTCCAGAGGATTCGGCACTCACTTCTGGTCTCCACGGGCACTATATGATATACACATAAAATAAAAATAAATAAATAAAAAATATTTAAAAAGATCCAAAAGGATGAAAGAACTTTATTGACTTGGTTTAAGAAAGATATGTTCAACTACAGAAATATGATCTCATGGCTGAGCATCATGGCACATGCCTTTAACCACAGCACTTGGGAGGCAGGTGGATCTCTGTGAGTTCGAGGCCAGCCTGGTCTACATAGTGAGTTCCAGGCCAGCTGGGGCTATGAGGAGACCCTGTCTTAAAAAGACCCCCCCCAAAAAAGAAAGAAATATGAACTCATGAATAATTTGAAATGAGTTAGTAAACACCAGCAGGGCCAATAAAAAGGATATTAAGGCATTTATTTATTTATATCAACATTTATTCCAATTGCTTTTATATATATAGTTCAGATGAAATACATATATGTGTATATATATATATATCCATTTTTTGGGGCAAAATACTAAATATATTTATAAGTCATCTTTGTCTGGAACCCAATGGGAAAGAAACAGGTTTAGAGGGGGAGTGGGAAGAAAAGAGAGAGGAGGCTTAAAAGTTCCAGTCATTCACACAAGATAGAAGACATTGTATATATCTTTTTAAAAAAAGTATTTAGTTTTAGTTTCTGTTTACCGGTATAGTAAAAAGGATCATTCTTATATAATATTTAAAGACATTTGTGGATTTATGGGTTAGAGAGATAGCAGTTAAGAGCACATACTGCTCTTGCAGAGTACCTGAGTTTGGTTCCCAGCACCCATATTAAGGGGCTACAACTGCCTGTAACTCCAGTTCCTGGGATCAGACACCCTCTCTGGCCTATATAACAACTCTCTCTCTCTCTCTCTCTCTCTCTCTCTCTCTCTCTCTCTCTCCTTTAAAAAAAAGACAAAAATATTTGAGAATTTAAAGAAGTGAAAAGTATTAATATTTGTTTGATTTGGCAGTAATGTTTGGTGTCTTGATGTTTTAAAATACATATCTAATGTGTACATATGTGTGTTGTAACATCCTTTTCTTTTTTAAACTTAAGATCACACATACTTTTTAGGTCATAAATAGACTTCAAAAACCACATTTGTTCTTTGAACTCTGCTCAAAGTTGTCTGGCATCTCTGAGACATTCAGTACAGTGAATTTACATTCAAAATGTCAATAAGCTGATTCTCACCGAGATAATACTGTTAAGAGATCACTGTTCTTCAGGCAGTCAGACAAGTTATCCACAGCGGCTTCCAAGGTCAGGAGTGCTTCCATTACATAACCCTGCCCAACACAAAGACAACATTTTGTGCTGCTTCAGCCCCTGCTCACTTCCCAAGGATGAGTTCACCAATGCAAACTTAATTCCAACAATGTTGGTATTTCTGAAAGCCAGACAAGACTGTTGTATTAATTTACAAAGTCTACTCCCCCCGCCTTTTTTTTTGGTCTTTTTGAGACAGGGTCTCCCTCTAGCTGTAGCTGGCCTAGAACTCATTATGCAGACCAGGCTGGCCTCGATCTCACAGAGATCCACCTGCTTCTGCCTCCTGAGTGCTGGGATTAAAGGCATGCGCTACCATGCCCAGCTCTAAAAACAGTTTTTAGGGTCACAGGAAATTCAGAGAGCATATGAGTTAACAATCATAAGGATTTATTTCCCTAGGTGTGACAGCCTTGGGAAGGTTTGAACTACAAAAGGGCAGAGGCATGAGTGGCCTCCCACTGAGGGGAAAGGTGGACCACTGAATACAGAACATCGGAAAGCCAGAGATGATGAAGTAAGGTATAGGAAGAGCTGTGACTTGGTGAAATTTTATCAGCACTTCTGATTTGTGCTCAGGGAAAAGAGAAAAAGGTAGAGTCTACAGGTGTGCAGGCTTCCTGAGATGCCAGATCATGTCTTATGAGAAAAAAGGCAAGCCTTAGGCACTCAAAGCCTTGGCATGGAACCTGCTCAGCCCGAAAGGCTCTGAGCTCTAACTACAGAGTCTGCAGCAGCTACCTTCCTGTCTTCAGCTCTTCTTAGTGCCCTGGATTCCACCATTGAGGGAAGGGCAATTCTTTGCCCAGATACAATGAAGATCCCTGCTATGGCTGGGCAGACTGTGTAACTGTGTCCTCAATGGGTGGCAAAAGACCTCAAACAATACCAACTAACCCATCACTACCAGTCAAATAAAATCATCACCACTACCACCACCACCACCTTCATCATTATCAGCACCAAAACCACCAACATCACCAAAACAAGCAAAACAAAAGGAGCCACTAAGGAATTTTCAGTTGTTCATTTCACAAAAATAAAAAACAAAAAACAATAGCACCCATTGAATTTGTAGCACAATGTCCCTTGGAGTGATTTTTGGAAACAATAAAGGTTAATTTATTTTTCTTTTTCTTGTGGTGCTTGGGATTAAACCCAGGGTCTTGTGTAGGCCAGGGGAGCATCACATCACTGAGTTGCATCACTGTGGTCATTCTCATCCATACCTGAATCTCATCACCATGTTCTCCAATCACCTCCACCAGTCTCGACAGTAGGTCAGACAAGGCATGTGCTGACAGGGGTTGCTTCAGGGCCCGAAATATCTGGAAAGATCGGCCTGCATAGTGCCTCGAAGAGCTTGCTAGAGCTGTCTGTAGTGCAACCTCACTCAAGTGTTGCTCCAGATGGAAACCTAGGGCCGGAAGAACCAGAGGACAGGTCAGTCTTTGGGCTGCAAGATGGGGTACCATAGTCACATGGAAGTTAAAGCAGGTTAACAGCACAGAGCAACCTCATGGCAGTACTTACTTAAAAGGCAAACATTTTCAGCTGGCCACAGTGACATGCACCTCTAGTACCTTCTATTCAGGAAGCTGACCCTGCCTCACTAACAAGCAGGGCTGAGGGTGTAGCTCAGCAGTGTAGGGCTTGGTTAGCATGTGAGAGGCCTTGGGCATTGCAAAATTTAATAAGTAAGTGTATAAAGTAAATAAATAAGCATAACAGTAATAACAAAACCATAAGCCAATTTAAAATAAAAACAAATTTTGGATACATCTTGGAAAGTATAGTAAGGGGCAGAAGCTTTGAGGGAGGAAGGACCTGGTTTTGAATAGAGAGGTTGGAACTCTGGGAAACGTAACTCTGGGAAACAGGTATTCTCTCAGAGCCCATGTGCTTCTCTTCAACTTGTCAACAACAGCATGCATCTCACAGAGATGTTATGAAAAGTGAACAACTTAGAAAGTACCTGACCCAGGGTCAGGCACATCAGTAGCATTACTCTACTATTTTTCCGTATTACTCTTCTGTATTCCCTTTTCCTTTCTCTGTGTGTGGTATATGCATGTGCGTATGGGTGCATAAACACATGTGCAGATGATAGGTCGATGTTGGGTGTCTTTTTCAGTGGTTTGCTCCCTTAGTTTTTGAGACAATCTCTACTGAACCTGGAGTTTGCCTGTTCAGTTAGACTGACTGACCAGTGAGCCCTGGTGAGCCACGTGTCTGTGCACCCCCAGTGCTGGGGTTACAGGTGCATGCCTGCTGGGGACTGAACTCAGGTCTTCGTGCTTTTGCAGCAAGCATTTTACTGACTGAGCCATCTCCCCTTGCACTCCTTTTCAATGGAATGAATAAATGTATGAATGAATTCCATCCTCCTTCCCTCTCTCTCCTTCCCTTCTTCCCGTCTTAAACTACAGCTCAGGCTTCTCTGGAACTCACTATGTAGCATAGGCCTTAGACTTAAAACAATCCTGTGCCTCAGCCTCCGGAGTGCTGAGATTAGAGGCATGAGCCACCACGCCTGGCTTAGGTGCTTCTTTGTTCATAAGACAGTTTGTTAGAATTACATTTTCAAAGTAGAGGACAGATGAGAGTGCACCTAGTTAACTCTAAAAACAACCAACGCTCGGTGCTAAAGTCTGTCTGTCTGTCAGTATACAGTTCTGAGATGCTTCAGGGAAGGAGCCACCAGTAAAACATCACCTGACTATTCTTCCAAGACAAAAATCTTAGGCATGAGAAAACCATCTGATCAGGTGGACAAGAAAATGCAATATAGAGCACACTGTGTTTTCTGGGTCACTAAATTGGACACTTGCTACTCCTCTCTGAGGGAGGCAGGCAGACAAGGAGAGAGGACCCCCCTAAAACAGTGATTTTCGTTGGCCCCAAGGGCCTCTGCCATGTTTGGGTTTCGCATGAAGGAGGATAAAGAGAAATACATTTTCCCACTGCTCTTAGCTGCCATTTGGCATTTGATCCTGGGAACAGGTAGACTACCTATGATGATGTTCCTGTACTACTGACAGGCCTAGAAAACGAACTTGTACATATCCAGGATGAGAAATTTAGGATCAAACACACATGGACAGTTCACAACTTATGAACCAATCTTGTTCCATGGATTTTGAGACTTTAACACATTTTACCACTTAAGCAATTTTACACATGGGGGGTGGGTCTCTTGGTTATAAGCAAGAGCTTATTTCAATGATATAAGATTTGAAGACTAGAGTTCATAGCCTAGTTGGTCTCTCTCTTCTTCCTGCATGTGTTTGAAGATGTGAGCTTGCAGCTTTCTGCTCTGGCTGCCTCCTGCTGTGCCTCCCCTGTTATGATGAACTCACCCTCCGGAACTGTAAGCCCAATAAACTCTTCCTTCCATAAGTTGCCTTGGTCATTATGGTTTATCACAGCAACAGAAAGATAGCAGATACACTGGGGGAAATTATTTGAGAGTGTAATGCAAGCATGGATGGCATTAGCTGTCACTCAGGCTGGCAACATGTAAAATAAGCCTCCAGACTTTCTTATAAACATCCTTATAATGAAGGTGTCTGGACCACATTGTACAATACATCATCATAATGGCGTGAGCTCACTGGCGTGAAGGCTGCTGGAAAAGGGATTTAGGTACCTGATTTGGAATCTTTAAATACAGATACAACGTGGCGTAGAAAATTAGTAAGCTGTTCAGCACTCTTCGAATTCTGATTTTTGGGTGTGATGTCTTCATGGCACCAAAGTGGACCAAATGCCCTTAAATAAAACATATGTATGTCAAAAACATGACTGTCATTTTTCATCAAAATAAACACATGAGGTTCTGATTCCAAAGGCACAATATATTTCTTTTAAACTTTACTATTTAATTTGAGGGAGCATATGAGTCTTACAAAATATTTGCATGTACTCAAAAACATTCTATGTTTTGTGGGGATTTACTTGTGACGTTTTTAAAAAAATTAATAAATTATTGGCATATGAGTATGAGTATGATGTATGAGTGGGTGCTCATGCATGTCATGGTGTGTGTGTGTGTGTGTGTGTGTGTACAATTTTATGGAGTCTGGTCACTCCTTCCACCTTTACATGGGTTTGGGGACTTGAACCCAGGTCAATCGGGCTTGCTTTTATCTACTGAGCTATCTCGCTAGCCCTAATTTGGTGTCATTATAACAGACTCCAGTGAAATCCAGATACATTATTAGAGAATACTTAAAAACTTTTGGAAAACCTAGAAGAAATGGATAAATTTTTAAGTGCATGTGATCTAGCAAAATTAAAGTCATAAGATGTAAATAACTTAAACAGATCCATTACAAACAGGGAAAAAGAAGTTGTAATCAAAAGTTTCCCTTCAAAGAAAAGCCCAGGACCATATGGATTCACTGCTGAATTCTCTAAGACTTTCAAGGAAGATTTAATACCAATTCTTCTTAAGTTGTTGCACAAAATAGAAAGGGAAGGAACAACTACCAGATTTATTCTATGAAGTCAATATTATTCTGATATCAAAACTAGGCAAAGACACAACAAAAAAAGTATAGACCAATTTCTTTAATGAATATAGATGCAAAAATTCTCAACAAAGCATTTGCAAACCAAATTCTGGAACATATTAAGATCACACATTATGACCAAGTGGGCTTGATACCAGAAATGCAAGACTGGTTCAACATACATAAATCAATAAAAGTAATACACCATATAAACAAACTTAAGGACAGAAACCACATTATTATCTTGACTGATGCCACAAAGGCATTTGACAAAGTTCAAAATTTAAAACATCAGAAGTTTGATAAAAGTTCTGGAGACGTTAGGAATAGATGGAGTATGCCTCACAGTAATTAATCTATATTCAAAAGACCTGTAGGCAACATTATACTAAATGGAGACAAACTGAGAGCATTTCCTCTAAAATCAGGAACAAGACAAGATGGCCACTCTCCCCTCTCTTATTTAATATAGTGATCAAAGTCTCGACTGTAGCAGTGAGACAAGAGAAAGGCATAAAGGGCTAAAAATAGGAAAGGACAAAGTCAAACCATCCTTATTGGCAGATGACATGATTCTACATCTAAAAGTTTTCTACCAGAAAACTCTTAAAGCTGATAAACACAGTAAAGTTACAGGATTCAAAATCAATATTTAAAAAAGCAGCTTTCATTATACAACAATGTGCTCTCAGAGAAAGAAGTTAGGAAAAACATCCCATTCATAATGGCTCCCAAATAATTCAATTACCTGGGAATACAACTAACCAAAGCAGTGAACGATTTCTACAACCAAAACTTCAAGACATTGAAAAGGAAATCAAAGAAGATACTAGATGATGGAAAGAGTTTCCATGTTCCTGGATTAGCAGTATTAATGTTGTGGAAATGGCTCTACTATCAAAACTAATCTAGAGATTTAATGCAATATGGATCAAAATTCTGAGATCATATTTCACAAGTTTAGAAAGAACAATTCAAGAATCCATATGGCACCACGAAAGACCACAAATAGCCAAAGCCACCCTACAGAGTAAGAACAAGCTGGAGGCATCACAATACCTGAATTATTTGTGATGTTTTAAAATTTATTCACACAATTAAAACATCATTTTTCAGGCTGGTAAGATAGCTCAGAGGATAAAGGCATATGCCGCCAAGCCTCACAACCTGAGTTCCATCCCTGGGATCCACATGATGGAAGGAGAGAAACAACTCTGGCAAGCTGTCCAGGATCATACCTCTAAGGTGTGGAACCAATGGAAGACATGGCTTCTGTTGTATATTTGCATTTCAACGTTAAGAATGGGAAGGAATTAGATGAGAGAATTGTCAACATGTGGTCCTGTCAGATGTTCTTTCCATAAACCATCCGGGTCTCTGAAGTACTGTGCATGTGCACACACTGTGTACACAGGCACCATCAGTCCTTGACCCCTGTCATAAGCTTCTGGCAGCACATTCAAATCCACATTAAGCTGCGGGCTATGTGGGATGATCTGAATTACTGAGAAGCGTTCCTCTGCACAGTCTGCATTCATTGCTGAGCAATGGGATTCAGCACAGCACAGATCTAAGCTAGATTTGTAGAACCTAACTCCCTGCAAGAGGGCATCATGCCTCCAGGTCACCGGTGAGCATACTTTCACACAGCTTTGGCCCTGAGGGTGTTGGCAATTCTGAATCCTTAGGAGCAATCTAGTTAATGAGAAGAACCAGAAACCTGAAAAAAACCCAGTACCATTTGCAGTTTCCCTTGATTATAACTTGTGATTAGTTGGATTCTTTTCCCAGTGTGCCTTCCATTGTTTCTGACTTCAGAGTCCCCATTTGAAATGACTGTGAATGAGATGAGTAATGATCTCTGAGCAGGTGCCCCTGGGTTGAATGTGGCTAATACCCTTGGTCTCCAGAGCAAAGTTCTTGGCTAAGCTTCAGAACTTTCAGATCTTGGCAGCTCTAAAGATGACTGAAGTTACACAATCGGCAGGGTGCTACCTACCATCTGCTATGTCATCTCATTGCTATACCCAAGTCTCTTTGCCAATCCATCATCTCATTGGTGAGATCTGAGACACTTTCTACCAGCATCTGGTCTTGACTCCAGCAGATATAAATCAGAAGAGAAACTAGGACTTTGTTAGGACTCAAGATCACTTTCCCAGCTGTGTGGTTTAACGTGTTGGAGCTTTTTCAAAGTGTTGGCCTGAAAAGAGCAGCCTGACTCCTGGCCCCTCATTACCTGGTTGTTAGAAACTCAATGAGCTTGTTTGCCTTCTCATCCGTTTCAGCAGTTGCATCTACGTCCTCTACCTCCTGGGTCATCTGTGGGAGATTCCCACTGCTGCCACCAAGGCTGATGCTGGAGGAGGTGGAACTGGAGCTGAGCCCAGAGTCTGGCACTGGTGATGACTGGTCCTCTCTTAAGAAGTCAAAGCCACCTGACAAGAGGAGAAGGCTAAGGAACAACAGCCTATGCAGGGTCATTGCCTCACGCTCAATGAGGCTTGGAGGCCAACGGCAGAAGCACAACTTCATGTAAAGAAAACACTTGATCTGGGCTGTGGTTGAGTCATACCAGTCATTTTTCTTTCCTTATGGACCCAGATACACTGCTGTACAGACCAGTGTGTGTCTGGGATCATAGGGATAACTGCTGTAGACCAGGCTGGCCTTGAACTCACAGAGATCAGCCTGCCTCTGCCTCCTGAGTGCTGGGAGTAAAGATGTGTGTCACCACGCCCGGCCAAAACACTTCAACTGTAACAGGTCAATCACCAACTGTTCTGCCAGAAAATTATTCCCAAGTATTAGACTTCTTAAATATATAAAGTGACACCCTTTTGAAAATACTAATCACTAACTGACTGATGAATAAGTTATTTGATGTTTTTGAGGAAATATGGCTAGGAACTTGACTATTATATGTGTGTGTTTCATATATGTGTATATATAAATATACACGTGCACATACAAGTGTATTTGGTGTTGGGATTGGTCCCATGGCCTCATGCATGCCAAATGTGTGTCTTTTTGAGACAGGGTCTCTCTGTAGCCCCCAGCTGTCCTGGCACTCACCATGTAGACCATGTAGGCTGGCCTTGAACTCACAGAGATCCACCTGCCTCTGCCTCCCGGGTGCTGGGATTAAAGGCAGATATTTTATCACAGAGCAATACCTTAGTTTCACATTAGTATATTTTAATGAGCTATATGGCATGATAGTCAAAGAAATACGGCATAAGAAATTACTGTGTTTGTTTCACTATATATTTGGCTAACACTGTCTAACACTATACTGTGGGTTTGAAAATGTATACATACAACCATTCCCTTTTCTCTTTTTAATAATCATAATGCCTAGTCCTGGTGTGTCTGGTGGATGTTCTGAATCAGGAGAGAGAAGTGCTGGGTTTCAATAGCCTTTCTGCACTGCTGAGTCTAATCTCAGAATTTATATAAATCTGAGTACCTTAGTTTCCTGTTATAATAACATGAGGACAATAATTTCTACTACATAATTTGTAGTATGGATTTGAAAGTGATTGTAGATGAAGCCATATGTTCTTACTGTTTACCTAAAGGGGTTATTCATGCTCTAGAAACTTGTTCCCTATGTGTGATGGGTCCGATCACTTTAGCTGCTGTTTATCTTGTCTGTGGATGTTGTTTGCACTTTGTTTTGTTTCACTGTTTTGAAAATCTCTACAGCTGCACTGGTGATTTGCTTAGGATATCGTGTGCATGTTCTTTTGCTGTTGCTGTTTTATTTTTATTCTGTAAATCCCTACTCTAAACCATTTTATGCCACGTTTAGTGGCATAATGAGTGTAAATTTGACACTCGGTTTAACATTTTCATTTTCTCATATTTAATGGAATTCATCCTTGGTAGTTCAAACAGCCACAACTCTTCCTAGTCTTTTAAAATTAAGGCTCTAGCATGTGCTTTACTGACAGTTCTGTGTCTCCCAGAGGCTAATGCTGGGTTATTTTTAATTAAGTGCAGCTTGGCTCCAATGGAAGAGCTTGACATGAAGTCAGTCAGTGGGCTCTACATCTCAGAGTTAATGATGACTTCATATTTGTTTTTTAAAAAAGTTAACATCTATTAGAAGATAAGATTGCTGAATATAAGTGATTTCAAAGTTATGAAGAAAGTTCCTGGTCACATGTGAAATGTCAGGTCATGTCCAGTGTCACTGTTATTTTTAAAGTGATTAAGTTAAAAAAAAAAAAAAGAGCTCTTGAACTCTTAGTTGGCAACAGTTTTACAGTCATCATTTAAAGATAGTTTAGGCTTGGGACGTGGCTCAGTGGCAAAGCACCTGCCTAGAACGCCTAAGGGCCTGGGTTTCAACCCTAGCATTAAAAACAAAAAACAAACAAAAATGCATTTCAAGCATTACGTAATTTTGTAAACCACTGACAACCTACTGGGGAAAGTTTTCAGGACAAGCTGTACAGCGACTTCCAAGCTGAAGCTCTTATGATCACCCTGCACAGCTTGACATGGCAGAGCCATTTCTTCTACTTGGCCAGGGCCTTCTGTTCTCATTCCCAATTAGACATTTTTGGTTTCAAAGGAGCACTTTTTTTTTTTTTAAACAAGACTCCATTAAATGATGCTTTCTAAAAGATAGCTAGTCATCCAATAAAATGAAACTCTCTCAGGGAAATTAGAAGTCACATAAGACACAACTGGCACTCTGGCTATGTCCTGATCTGGCACAGAGAGTCACTATTTCTCACATTCTTATCCCTCACTGTTTCAGACTGGTGCTCTTGACTGATGAATATTTTAATTTCAGTACATCAATGGGATCATACCCAGTGGGTGCAGCAGTCATAATGATATGAAAAATACAGTTGAAAATACTCAATTATGAAAAGGCTTTTTGAAGGCAAATTCATGATAAAAGTACTGTCATTTTATCTCATAGAAAGTTGGAGGTAACAGCACAAGGGAAATTGGCATGGGCTCCACGGATACCTTCAGTCATCTCCCACTGGTGGCCCTGTCTCAGGCTGCCCCTCCTCTTGTTACCTGTATAGAGGTACTCTGGCTGGTAAGCTGGCTGCACAGTTAACGTCTTAGCTTCCCCCATCTCTCGGGTCTGCAGGAGCACAGAAGCAATGGAATGAAAGTTGCTGTTGCAAGACAGGGCGATCAGGAGGTGAAGAAGCAACTTCTTGCTGTGCTCAAAGACTTCAGGCCGATAATGGTCCAAACCTGGAAAAAAAACTGGTGTCATCACTTAATATCAACAAATGTTAAATCCCTCCAGATTCCAGGGATAGTAAAGATTCCAAGATACTGGGAGGAACATGTTGGAGGAATGTTTAGTTTTCTCTGTTATTGTTTGGCTCTCCAACATAAAGAAGTTGGCTTAGGAAAAAAATAAAATGCTTTATGACTTAAATAAAAGGGTCACATAAAATACCAGCAGATGGACTTTTCTTGACCTCTCTGCAGCATTTAAAGTGCTTCCCATTCTTCTTTCCTGAGACAGTCTCTTCCCTGAGACTCCTTGTTATTGAAGTTTAAAAAAATATAAAAATAAAAATAAAACTTTTTGAAGCATATTTTGCTTTGTGGTGCAAGCCAGCCTTGAGATTATGGTCCTTCCTCTGCTTCCCAAATGCTGGGACCAAAGGTGTGTCCTAACACACCAGGCTTAAAGAATCGTGATTTTGTTCCTCTCTTTAACTTAACTGATGTTCTGCCTCGCTCCTCTTGTAATTTTTGCTCTGCCACTGGATATCTGAAGCTTGGTACTTAGCCTGCCATGTTCCATATTATTTCTCTCTTTGCTTTGACCAAATTTAATGGCTTTAAATATATTTCCTCAATCAAAGACCATCAAATAAACCCAAATTTTTTGGGTATCTTGGAAAGTATAGCATTGATGAAGTGCCAACACACTGACAATTATACAGAGTCAAACAATGACTGATTATGTGAAATTGGATAGAGTAGGTTCCAGGAGGGGGTTGAAATATGGAATAGACTAAGGATTCCATAAAGGGCAAACCTATGTCAAATGAAGGAAATTTATATGGATTACCTCTGCATGTTTTTGACCCTGTTGGCTAGAATTCTCCTGAGATCCAGTCTTACCTAAGAAGACAGCATGAAGTAACAATGGAAGATGAAGGGCCCAGTCTTCTCTCACACTGTGATCCACCACCATCTCAGTCATAAAGATCACAGCAATATTGCACCTGATCAACAAAATGGAGAAATGAAGACAACTTCTAAAGACAGCAGTAATACAACAGATCAAGTCACAATTAAGTGCAACTAAGGCTTGCTTAAGAAGTGCATAAAGATCCTCATTCCAGAGAAATAGAATTTTTAAAAAGGATTTATTTTTATTTTGCCTGTGTGTATGCACACCATGTGCATACCTCATACTCACAGAGGCCATAAAAGGGTATAGAATCCCTGGCACTGGAGCTATAGATGGTTGTGATCTGACGTGAGGGTACTGGAAACTGAGCCCAGCTCCTCTGCAAGAGCAGCAAGTGCTCTTAACCACTGAGTCATCTCCCCAGCCCTCAAGGAAATTGAATATAAATTCTGACATAGCATAGAGCCCCACTATAAGAAACATCTATTAAATTTATCAAAGAGTAGAGAGTCTATTAGCAAAAGGATGATAAGAGCTGAAGAGAGAAGAGAAATCAAACACAAATCCAAAGGACCACAAGGCAGCTTTGCACAGTAGCTAATATTTGACTAAACTCTGCTAATGTGCTAGGAACTGGCCATAAATTCAACACTGACGTAAAAAGGGATCTCATTTGGTGGAACCTGGAGTTCTGTACTTATCATGAGTACAGAAGTCCAGTTCAACTGAAGCAGTCCTTTCCGTCAACCTGTACATATTGCTCACCTGTGCAGTGGCCCCCGGGGAGTGATGGTTTCTGGGAGATAGTCAACTAAGGGGGCCCAGCATCCTCCAGTGCATGGCATCGGTAAAGGCTGTGGCTGCTTGGTTTCCGTAATAGTTAACAACCAGCCAGTGTAGGGAGAGATTGGATCATCTGGAGGGTGAGAAAGACATGAGTACTTTGTTTTCTGGGAGGAAAGACTTTTGTTTCCCCTATTTGGTGTTTTTAGGAAGAATCTTATAAATATATGCTTGCAAAACTAACTAACAACCCAGTTTAGTAAGCATGAATTACATCATCAAAATGAAATAGAATGGCTTGATTAGGTAATTACTTAATTAGTTATTACTTGATTTATAATCATTCATTACACAGCAAAGAAAAGATACAGATTAAGCCAGGCATGGTGGTGCATGCCTTTAATACCAGCACAAGGCCAGCCTGGTCTCCATAGTGAGTTCTAGGACAGCTGGGGCTACAGGGAAACCCTGCCTCAAAAAGAAAAAAAAAAAAAAAAAAAAGATTTAAAAAAAGGTAACTCATGAATTTCCTCTATTGTGAAAATGTCTCCAATCTTCCCATCTCAGTGAAAGTCAGGCCTAGATATCCGGTTAGCTCAGGACAAGAACCTCAGAGCCATCCTTACCTTCTTCTTATCCCACATCTGACAGTCATGACGACAACAGCAATAACAAAGACAACACAAGGGACTGAACAGAGTATACACCTTGTCAGGTACTGTTTTGTGCACTTTGCATATTAATAGTTCAATCACGGGTACCTACTATAATCATCCCTATTTTATAGTGAGGAAATTGACATATGAACACAGCCTGGTTGTTCTGCTTTCTAAATACACCCTGCCTCTGATCACTTGTCCTAGCCCCATCAGCGTTCTCTCAGCATGGCTTCTTCCTGTCATCTAGTTTCTTCTTCATCCCTGTATACTCTGTGTTCTGCAGAGTTCGAAAACTTTGGTCATGTCTCTTTCCTTGCTCAACATTCTCCAGTGCTCTCCCCTTTGCACCCGGAAGGAAATCCAAAACCACAGCATGACCTCAGAGGCATTACATGGTCACTACGTTCCTTGCATGGCTCCCTATCTACTTCCTCCCCACTGTTCTCACTCCACACTAGTCATGGTGGTTTCCTTGCTGCTCTGTGCTTGATAAGCCAAGCCTCTGTCCAGCCTCAGGGACTTCCCTTCTATGGTTCCTAATGGCTGGAATGCACCCCCCCTTGGCTCCCTTCTATACTCAGAGGCTTTCCTTGACCATCTGTGACAGTGTTAACTGTCAACTTCATAGGATCTGGAACCACCTAGGAGAAAGGCCTCCCAGTACCCCTGCAAGGGATTATTTAGTCTCTGGGCATGCCTGTGAGAGATGATGTTGATTAGGTTAATTGAGGTGGGCAGTAACCCACCTTGGGTTGGATCCCAGGTTGTATAAAAAGGAGAATGTGAGGTAAACAGGCATTCATCACTCTGTGGACACAGCGTGGCCAGCTGATCAAGCTCCTGTAGCCCTGACAGACTGCACCCTCAAACTGTTAGCCCCAATAAGCCCTTCCTTAAGTTGCTTTTGTCAGGGTATTTTATCACAGCAACAGGAAAAGTAACCAAGACACCATCTATGTATCTACCACCCCAATCATTCTCTACACCTCAGCCTGTTCAGTTCAGTTTCCCCTTCTTGGCCTGCCTGCCTCAGTCTAACAAAAGCTCTAAGGGAGTGACAAATGTTTTGTTCCTTGCTCTTTCCATCACATCTATAGTAGTACTTGGTATGTAGTAAGGGATTGATAAATATTTGCTGAGTGAATGAATGGACTTCATCAACAGTATATTTCAAGTTATGTACAGTGACAAGTTTCACAGAGCTATTTTTTGGCATTCAAGACAAGCGAGTCTGTGGGGGGTCACATGATACCACCCAGGTGTGTGACTTCAGGCAAACTGGCTTAATCCCTGGGATTGGTTCAGTGTCTTAAGAGGAAAGATACATTACATCATCTTTATGCAATTGCCTCCAAATATAGTTTTTCTTGGTTGTACTTGTGAAACATGTAAGTGATATAGTCATATATTGCTTAACAACAGGATTTATTCTAAGCAATGTGTCTTAAGCTATTTTGTCACTAGAAGAACATATCTAATTCTTACAAAATCCTAGATGGTGTCATGTGCTCCGTGCCTCTGATGTATGGTTAACTGTGCGTTGTGACCTCAAATAGGATCACATAACTGAATATAGGGGTTGCAAAAAAATCTGGCAATAGCAGGTTTCTGACTGTGAGACAACCAAAAGTGAATTCAAGATCAAATATGTAATGAATCTGAGCTACGTTGAGCAGTGCACACCCATATTGCATTGGGCAACTTCCTATAGCCCTGGCTCTGAACACAGAACATGAGCACTTTGAACTGGCCATGCTATCAATGGCAAGAAATGCTGCCCGAGACAGCATAGATTCAGGACTACTGCATGTTATGGACTACAATGTTTTACTGTACACACTAAGCTTTCTGTTCCTATGGAAACAAAATGACTGAATCACAGACAACGCTTTCAATGTTTTTTTACCGACATTCTTTGTATCAAATAAATGTATCTTTGCATTGTGTTAGAAAGTTGATTTTGAAAACTGCTGTTTGAGTTAGTACTTGAGTTTCATGTGGGAAGCAGAGACAAAAGGATCACTGGGACTTGCTGGCTGCCAGCCTGGCTCCAAAATCAGTGACAGACTGTGTCTCAAAGGAATAAAATAGAAGCCAGGCATGGTGGCTCAAGCATTTAATTCTTGTACTCAGGAGGCAGAGGCAGGTGGATCTCTGTAAGATCAAGGTCAGCCTGATCTACATACTAAGTTCCAGGTTGGTTACAGAGAGACCCTGTCTCAAAAAGACAAAAAAAAAAAAAAAAAAAAA